TTGTGTGAATGTCCACAAAACTGGAAGACTTTCTGAATGTATATATATATATACGGTAGGCTATTTTAGAAAGGAACATTAAAACGATGGAAAAGAAGAACCAGGGAGAATCAAATTATGAATAATTTATTTTCTACTGTGTGAATAATATGTAATCATGTGATTAGTAAAAAGTAACTGTAGTCTAATTACGAGTATTTTAAAATGCAATTTAATCTAATCACAAGTACTTAATTTTGGAATCTGAATACATATGACATGCAATATAAACTACCCAACAAAACAAATGTAACAAACTCCAAAATAAATATTAAAAGCATTTTCCAAATAAAAATATGATAAATTCTAATGCTGATATGAATGCATTGCAGTTGATGTCCAGCGAATTAATTATGCATTCAGAAGAAAAGTGACACTGTCCGCATCTCTTCATGCCTCATAGACCAGGATCAGATATCTGCAGTGCAGGGCCACAGGTGGATAACACTATGTTAGAAGCACTGACTACGACAGCCATATGCTGCTGAGCACCGGCACCAAAAGATAGACGGAGAGACCGAAGGAACAAAGCTGTTTCTCTCCAAATCTAGAAAGGCCAGAAGAAGTCTGAAGGAACCCATTGTTCTTATTTGCAGCAATCTCTAACCCTGCATTTTTCAAAGTCATCCTTTGTTGACAGCAAAGTCACTAACAACATCATCATTGTTATGCTGATGGTCACGGATAACGAGGATTTTACAGAACCACAAAGAATTACTACAGCAGCTGCAGCTCTAATTTAGGATTATAAATAAATGCATCTTTGCATCCATCAAACAAGTGTTGTTTTTGTGGAGATTTGTGGTCTATCAGTACATCGTATAAAAGTCTTTGGAGATGTTGAATGTTGTGTTTACTCACGGGTGCATTTAAACTGGGCAATGATAGTCATTCCTGCTACATGCAATCTGATGAATTTCTGTGATTTAACAAAGAATGTCACGTTATATCTGAAGTGCTGCTGGCAAATTCATAACAGACAAGAAGCCACTGTAATTTGATGATGGGATACAAATAGAATAAAGGTTTATTTTACTTTGCCCGAGAAAGCAGT